GCGAAACAGTTAATTGTCTGATCGCTAAATATAGTAAAAACTGAAAGACAATGAATGAATACATAGAGAGTTGGGGCAAAAATGTGAGAACAGTAGCCGTGGGCTGTTGCCGGACGATCATGGGATAGGCACGGGTAGCCCCGAACACTACCGGTGGCAATATGTTTAGTATAATGTCCACAAACACGTAGGTCCCTATTGAATAATAGTTTGTGTAAGTTAATATAATATTAAATTAATGACATTTATCTAGCTACTAACCATCGGAAGGTTTATTACCCTCCCAAAATAGTATGAGTACAGCACCCAGTAGTACAAAACCATAGCAAACTTGGTATTTAAAAGCACCGATAGTTGCCGATAGGTTAGCCCTACCCTCACTTATAAGGGTCGGTACGCACGATATGTTTTTGTCGCGATAGGCGAAGGGTGAGGCCACCGATGCCTCGTCGCCCGATAGGGATATACCGGCGTTTGCAGTCCTTAGAGCACCGCAATCATTGGCACCTATTTGAGTAAGGTGAGGTTTAATTTAATTTTTAAGTAAATCTTTATTCAAAAAAGTAAATATCATCTATTTATTTAAAATACTAAGTGAATAAGGGAGCATAATAATGTGTAAAATAACAGAATAACTATTTTAAAAACTACATACCATCCCCACACATGCCAACTTGATGACCCTGTTGTTGTAATACTTCTACCAGGCTCAGTTTTAGTTCGGGTGACATTCTAGCAAATATCGTTCCTTTATGAACGACTTGGTTCAACAACTTGCGATCATTTTGTCGGATAAGTTCATACACATCGCCCTCTAACGCTAAATGGTGGCGCCCACTTTCGGTCCCCTGTACAGGCAATAATGTATCGTCTATTTCCGTACCGCCCGTCCACTTCATGTTTAACTTTTCGCTAAAACCCGGGAGTTTGACGTAACCGTAAAATACTCGCAACGCTTGGTTACCCATAACTGATTCGAACAGTTCGGCCTCCACTTTGATCACGGAATCCGATTCGTCGATTAGCCCGCACTCCCGGCCCACACTTATCG